CTGCTATATTATTTGATTATGTTCTTCAGCAAATCTAGCAAAAAACGGTCGGGCCGCAGGCCCGAGCGTCGTCGCCGGCAGGCCAAGCAGGCCCGGCCCCTGCCGAACGGAGTTGCCGGTGGGGCGAAGCGGAGCTGGCAACTTCGTTTGGCGGAAGGGCGGGCCTGCTTGTTAAAATTATGTCCCAATATTTACCCAACAATCTCAAACAATCATAAACAATCATCCACACAATCATAAACAATCACACACAATCACTCACAATCTGAAACAATGATTGTCTCGACACAATCATGTGTACACTTTTTTGACTAGTTCCACACCCCTCGTTTGTACCAATGCAACACTTTGCAATCACACCGCCGAAAACGTTGCGTGATTTTCTTCTTGTTCCTACCTGTAGGTAGAGTACCGCTCGCCTCCGTCAGTCGTCGTCTGCACCACGGTGAAGCCCAGCTGGTCACGCGAGTTCACGTCCAGGCGGAACGGGACGCCCTCGTGGAGCATCGCCTTGGCGAGGCGATGCATGACGGGGTGCCGGTATTGCTGCCACGACACGCGCTGCGGACCACTCGAAGAGTGATATTCTGCAGTAACACACAGGAAAAATGAAAGAACTGCTATCCGCTCTGCTAATTCAATTGCAAACCCTTTTCACTCCTACAAATATCTGAATATACAGACAATTTTGTCTCAGTCAAAATTACATACTAAAGTCTGAACAGGACGGGTTAGCTTTCGACGAGCCGGGACGATTTTATAAGGCACTTGTTGCGCTGGGACCAATATTTTTCGAGATATGGCTCAAAACCGTCAGTTTTGGTCAAAAGTTGACCCATTTTCACCACAAAAATCGACGGGGCATCACTTTGTTCTTGCCGCACGGCACAGGAACTTCGCGGTTAACTTCCTAGATACATTCCGCACCGAAACCGTGATAGACGTTTCTTGGGCAACGCCTACTTCGGTCCCAAGGCGTCCAAAAGTGTCAATTTTCCCTTATAGACCCAAATTTGACCGCTACCAGGGATTGGAAGGGGTATACCCCTTCACATACACTGTTACATACGGATGGACCAAAATGACACCGGCACGTGGTCTGAGGATATCTTTAAGGTACTTTTCGATCCCAGATTTTCACTCCACCCTACCGCCCATTAGCAGCGCGCCTTTACCTTTTCCAATTTGATTTTTCACGTCTAGCCATTAGAAAAAAGCGCCCTTAGGTAACTCATGAAAGTATTAGTCCCCTATTTTGTTCCTCCTTGGGGATTTTGTAGGGGGACTGAACAAAACGATGAAAATTCGTGCCCAATTTCATATTCGTGAGGCGAAATCCATTTTCTCCAGAAATGACTGATAATTGCATATTTTTTTTAAAAAAATCCAGAAAGGCCCGCCAGTGTGTATTCGGCCTTAAATTGGCATTTTAAAACTGAATACAACCTGTGGATCATTTTTGGATTTCTCAGAAAAAATGCTATTTTTAGTCATTTCTGGAGAAAATAGATTGCCCATATAGATACGAATATGAAATTGGGCAAGAATTTTCATCGCCAAGCGTTTTGTATACGGTCACCCTACAAAAACCCCAAGGCGGAACAAAATCGGGGACTAACATGTAGATGAGTTCCCTTGGTAGTCCAGCTCCAAATTACCTCATTGTCGCTCGCATTGCCACCTCGCGACGACACGTTTGTGCTACGAATCAGTGACCCACCTGTGTCCCAAGCTATGGGCAGATCCAGGTTGCGCTCAGCCCGCTTGAAGTAGTAAAGGACGTTGGTAAAATTCCAGGAGGAATCGTCGACTGCGTCTGCCCAGCTGTCATAGTCCACAGCGCTGCCTCGAACGTACATCATGCCATTTAACGTCGAGCCTCCTCCAAGAACGAAGGGTACGGTCATGGTACAACCAGTACCGTTGCAGTTCTGCTGCTCTGATACCGACTGGGTGCAGACATGTGCAAAAGAGCATTTCAATGGGGCTGGAAACGGATGTGAGGACGCAACCAGATTTAGAGAGCTGTCGTGGGGGTGGATGCAAGGAGCACGGAACGTCCCTCTACACTCGCTACTCCTGCACCCCCCCCCCCTTACCGCAGCTCCCTGGATCCGATTCTGTTAGCTCGCTTTTCTGCTTCGGAAAACTCGACAGGTAAGAAGTGAGACTCTGTGTTTTTTGGCCCAGCCTTCTGGTTTATAAAAGCAAAGCAAAACAAAGGGATTATGCAATGCAACCGCCCTCCTGTCCGTCCGTCTGCCTGTCGTCCATGCATGAGATGACCTAGAGTACATACTGATATTTTCAGGGTTTCTCAAGGGGCACTCTTAGACACCGAAACGTTTAGGGCAAATACTGGGTACCTGCCAGAGTCTGGAATCCACGCCCAAACCTCACTCTTTCTCACTCGCTCGGCTCTAACGCCCGACCCGCTGTTTCCCACTCGCTATCGGGCAGTCCCACTCGCTCCCACTCGCCGAGACCCGAGCGTCTCAACGAGTCCCGTCTGCAGGCCAGGCGTGGCTTGGCGTAGCGCGTAGACAAAGTCGGTCGAGCGCCACGCCATGCCACGCCCTCCCTCAGGTGACCGGCAGGCGAGACTCGGCCACTCCAAACGGGTCCCGTTCGTTCGGGTGCATTCGGCGAGGTTCGGCACATCGCCATCGCTACCTTGGGTTTCTCGCTCCGTCTCTCTCGCACACCTACTGCGCACGGCGCGCTCAGACTGGGACCCGATCGGGCGTGGATTCCGGACTCTGGTACCTGCCCTACAAAGATGTTATAGTTTGTTGGCTGAGCAATTAGCGAAGCCTATTACTCCAGTCATGATCAAAAAGTTTGGCGTCTGTCTGTAAACACGGTAACTCGAGAGCGATTTGAGCTAGGAGGCTCAAATTTTTATTGTAACTTTGTATCTTACAAAAAAAAAGTGTACTGACTTTGAGCCCTCAAGCTCAAAAATTGGCCGAGAACGGGCTTTGTAAAAAGCATTAAGAAAGCAGTTCCATTTTTTAAACATTTATTTATAGCTCCCTAAAGGTGCCCCCACAATGAGCAGGAGGCAATGAGGTCTGGGTAGGCGATGCCGTGCGGCCAAGCAGTTCTGGTAAGCCGTGCCCGCAGGTTCAACTACTTTCATGCGAAGACAGCTGCATTAAGACGATCACAAACATACAGGGTGGCCGCTCTGCCCCGTAGTTTTGAAAAGGTAGACTAGCCCGCTCACAGACGGAGCGGGGAGGTGGGAGGGGACTGGAGAGGTAGGTTTGGGCGGGCTAGTCCACCTTTTTAAAACTACGGGGCAGAGCGGCCACCCTGTAGCACTACGCAACCGGCACGGCCTGCCAGCTCGGCCTGGCCACACGGTATCGCCGACCCAGCACCGCCTCTCCCGCTCATTGTGGGGGCACCTTAAGGGACAGCTGTTCAAAAAAGATGCCACAGACCCAAAGTTTCGACCGTTTTGGCTTTATCTCGAACCGCTGAGGCGCCAGACGGAGTTTTCAGCTACTCTGGAGCGGTCGTTTGAGTCGCGCGCGGGCAAAGCACGGCACAGGTCAGTGTTTAACACTTTTAGGATGAGGATGAGGTTGCACGAACCGACATCAGAATCTAAACCAACACTTTAAGAATAGCACCTCATTCTCCATAATCCCGAAGTTTCAGGCCAACAAAATTTATTTCTGCGATGCTTACATATTACATGACTATTAGAGCGATTGAGCCTATTTCGGATCAGAGCTTTGTATTCCCGCCTTGTACCAAATCATGCAGGTTTAAGAACAATTAAGGCACCAAAAGGGTAGATCTTCCTTGGCGAAAAGCAATTGTTTTGGTGTCCGTAACTTCACTCGTTTAGGTGTTACACTGTGAAAAATATCGTCGGAAATTTACAGAAAAATTGTAAACTTGAATTATTATTTAAGTTGTAAATTTACCACAGCACATCTTTTACTCGCCAAGGGATTTGAAGTCGATACATACTGCATGTATTTTTACGATTACCGATGGTAATTTGCAACTTGCGTCAAGGAAAATTTTCCTGTAAACCTACCTACTTTTTTTCACAGTGTAGAGCGACTGAAACAATTTCGGATCAGTCCCTAATTCGGATCAATAAAACCTACACACGCTCCCTGGCGAAAATGTATGGGTTTAAACTTTTTGGACGCGAAAAGGTTTGTCGTTTTCTACCAGAAATTACCATCGCTTCACCCTATTGCGGCCCAAGCGGCCCGCGCGGCCGAGTTTAACATTAACATTAATCGTTAAGGAGGTGGAAGAATGTTGTCGTTTGCTCAAATTGACATTACTTGTACGCATAATTTCGCGGCAACCCAGGTATCAATCTTAAGTTAAAGGACTAGAGAACACGTTTCAAACTTGGATTCGATCTCATATTGTGTCAGGTTAAAACGCGGGTTGAGGTCAAAAGTAACAACTTCTGAGGTAGAGTTTTGCGAGCAGCTTCGATTTAATGATGGTCGAACTATTTTGGTAATCACTATCACTTTGTTATATTTCAAGGGGTTGCTTTAAAATCCACTTGGTTATCCTGGACAGTCCAGGACCATATTTCCCAGTTTCACTGCATTTTATGTCGATTTAGTCATAAGTACCCCTTAAATAATCTATATCTTTTGCAAAAAGGCATTCCAGCTGGTCAAGAACAAGGCGTGTGCTCGTCTTTTTTACTGTTTCTACTTAAAAACTACACCCAGAAAATCGTTTCCTTGAAACAAGGCGAAATTGCCTTAAGTTAAAGAAATTAGCGTCGAATTAAGGAAATTTTCCTTATAACGAAATGTTTTCTTTGGCTTAAGGAAGATATTGCCTAAATTCAAGGAAAATTCTTTATTTTAAGAGCTATTTTACTTTGAAACAATGGAATTTCTTTGATTCAAGGAAAAAAATTCCTTATGTTTTTTCAAAGAAACACTTTTCTGGGTGTACTGCTGAGTGTGTGGCTGGTCGGTTTCTTAATTACTAGTTTCATTTGATCCGAATTAGGTGCACATGCTTAACTCGGATTAGGCAATAATTCAAAGGCCCCGTGGACTGTGAACCAAAAGCTTGATTGCTACAAGATTGCAAAACCACCATCTTAATCCACAGCTGATCCGAAATGGGTTCATATGTCCCTATTCCGGATCAAAATCACGTCCATACTCAAACTGCCATTGCATAAATGTCAATTTACGCAACCCACTACACACTAAAAGCTTATGAACATTTTTTTCATAGCTTACTGAGTTCTGTGTACGTGCTCTGCTTACGCATTTATAAATATGCCGGTGTGAACAAATTTGTTCATACTGGCGTATTAAACAATCCCTGTACGTAAAACGACGAATTTTAATGTTCAACTTGGAATTTTTTTTCTTAAAGGCAATAAACTCGAATGAACTACTCCTTAAATTTCAAATCTGCGCGCACTCTCACTCAGTTCAGCGACGTTACTGATAGTGCTTTGTCTGCAGTTTGAAACTAACCACCGCACTGTTAGCTAGAGTCGGGTTTTCGCCCGAAATAAATTCACATACATATTTAAATTTTCTATCAGTGCCAGAGAACAGTATAAAATTAGCCATGAATCTTCTTTGGGTGATTAAAAATCATGGAAGCATTTTCTTTTGGGAACCAGAGTCAATTTCTTCATTTTCGTAGCGTACAAGTGTGCTATTTTTCTTTGATTGTTAATTTCAATATCGGCTATGAAATCATATGGGAAGTTCTTTTTTTTTAACCTAATGTCCACAAATACTTAAACAAGAAGTATAATGTTTTTAGAACTGAAACTCCCGTTGTCGGAGGGATATCCAATGCCCAGGTACATTTAGGGGTCAGATCAACCGTTTAGACAGTGTAAGAGGCTGAAAAAGTATGAAAAATGGAAAATCTCACTTTACCTCCCCTCTACTTATCTCCTGTGTTGCAGACAGACCCGAGATCGATTGCATAAGCCCATTGTTTTTAGCCCGCCCTTCTGCTTTTAAAAAAAAGCATTAAAGCGGGCTTATGCAACCGCTCTCGTGTCCGTCCGTCCGTCCGTCCGTCCGTCTGTCTGTCTGTCCGTCGTCCGTGTAAGAGGAAGGACATGAGCTAGAGGTCTGCAAATTTCAGGGTATCTTAGGGGTCACTCCTGGACAACGAAACGCCTGGTGCAAATCCTAGCAACCACCCCTAGGGGGGTGAAAGGGGGTAACAAAGAAATAGGGGTTGGTCCAAAAAGTAGAAAAAAAATATTTTTTTTATGCTCTCCTAAGGGGTAACTCGTGAAAGTAGAGCCCTTTGGGCGAAAATTTTGTCCGTTTGACTCTATCTTGAACTGTTTGGGCGGTAGAGTGCTTTTTTCGACGAAAAGACGGCGAAAATGACCACGTTGCACATAAAGACGTACAAGGAGGCGTCCAATCGTAAAATGTCAGAGGAAGT